GCACACCATCATCATAACCCTAGATCTAGAAATTACAAGAGCAAAAATATCATCTCTCTAGCATACACATACAAAATCCGGCCACCTTCCAGTTTTCCAGCGAGCTCGAGCCATCACGTCGGGCCCGATCCGCAACATCCCTCCTCCCACGCACCATTCACAGCCTCACGCCGAGCTCGAGTCCCGCGCACTCCTCATGGTTCCAGTAGCCCGCGCCTTCACTCGCTACCCCGGGCCCAGCCTGACGTCCGTACGCGGGCGTTCAGCTCGCATCCGTTCGTATGTGCCTCTTTCCCAGCGCGTAGCAGGTCCGTACGCCGTCCGCATCTCCCAGCGCAGCGAGCACGTCCGTACCGCCAACAAGCCTGCGCGCCTCCTTCCCAGCTCGCGTCCGTACGCCGGCGTTCCATACCGCGCACCAGTCAGCAGGTTCGTACGCACGCACCACCAGCCCCGAGCACCAAATCCGAGCCGTACCAAGCAGCGTCGCGCCAGATCTGTCGTGAGCACCCGTGACCCTAGCCCTAGTCATCTTCTGATTTTCGATTTGAGTCCATTTTGAGGTATAATGGCTGAAACTTATACTCCTATGATTTAGACAAGTATTTTAGTTTATTTTAAAATGGTAAATGGTGAATTTGGGAGAGATATGAATATATATAAATTTATTAAGTTTAATGGATAGAAAATCATATCAATTTGTGTGCTGATCCAAAAATTGTGATTTTCATTATATAAATCATTTTCAATTGTCTTGAGGCTTAGGTTAAAATTTGGTGAATTCTGGAGATCGATTGCTATATGAACCGATTTTGTGGATCTACAACTATAATGTCCGATTTTGGTTGACTGAGTTAGGGCTTGAATCTTGCTGTGATATTTTAAAAAAAAAAAATTATATATATGTTGAGGTTGTTGTGGTTTAAATTTCGTGATTTTTGGAGACTGTTTGATATAGTTTAAAAATTGGGACTTTAGCCTTGAATTGTGGTGTTTTTAGAAATTGCTTCGGTTATGATTTAACTGCAGTTGTTGGACCTGAAATCCTCATAAATCACATAGGATCTAGGTTTAGAGTTTCGGCTTAAAATGAGTTAGGTTGCTCAGAAAACTAGAACCCTAGTTTTATTTTTTTCCGAAAAATGGACAATTTTTAGATCCGAGCATAATCGCCCGAACCTAGTACCATATAAATGACTATAGATGTCATAGGATTATAAATGAGTCCTTGGGTGTCGGGATGTGGTCGGTCGGCGGTGAGTCGCCAGCCAGACCATAACCAAGCCTAAGAAGACTACCGAGGTCGTGTGCCTTGTAGCGAGCATAACCAACCAACTGGCGTGCATTAGCACGTATCCTCAATGTGTATCGTCGTCCCGCACATGTTTTCCACTCTCGTACCATTGTTAGAGCTGAGCCACCGAGTGCGTGCCCGTGCACCGAGTCCAACCGAGCCGCGCCCTTGAGCTCTGCCCAACGCCCGTGCGTCCGTCCGACCTACCCAGTCATTGCATCGTTTACGTTAGCCGTGGTCCAAGCACCTTCCGCGTCATTGACCGTGGTACCGTTTAAAACCGTGCGTTGGCAAAGCCGTGTTCGCCGTGTTTGTGCATGCCCGTGAGTTACTACGCCGAACACAGACCACGGTTGAGCCGAGCTTCACATAGCCAGCGAGTGATCGGCCGGTTTCGAGCGAGCCGCCGGTCAAGTCCAGTCGAACCAGTCCGGGTAGTCTGGACGGTCCAAGAAGTTTCCAGTTCAACCGAATCAGTCTGGGCAGTCCGGACGATTCAGGAGTTTTCAGTTTGGAACATCGTTTGAGCGTGAACCGAGATTTCAGTACCTTTCTGAACCCAGCCAGATTAAGATCCAGTCAGACTATAGTTCCAGACTTGGATATATTTTAGAGAACTCTAGGAAGCCTTAAGACAATAATTTTTCAAATTAGCTTGTAAATTTCCTAAAATGAGTTTTATATTATTTTAAAACCGAGTGAGCGAACCTAGAAAGATCAGATATTTAGATTCAAGTTTTGAGATTGAGCTTAGTATTTAGAATATTTTGCTCAAATATTTTATAGCTTGAGGAGAGTCGAGCCTCCGTCTCTTACAAATCTATTCCAGCATTTGCATTGCACCAGCTTCCAAGTGGGGACCCTGTACTGTGTATCTCATTGCTTTTAATTGCTTATCCTGTCTGAGGTATGTGTGTGGATAGATTGAGGACCGAGACGGATGAGTTTCAGATTTCAGTTATGACTTGGATATGTGGTGCATAGTGCTCAGCCTAAGTCTAGCGTCCAGATGTGGTGATTAGTGCTTTTCCTAGATTTCTGTGGGAGGGGACCCCCAGAGTGCGCACATGAGTACCAGATTACGGATAGTCTGATGTAGGGAAACGTACGAGTTGGACGATATTAATGAGATCACAATCTCAAGGACATCAAAACACGATAAACTCAATCAATTTCTTATTTCATATTCAACTCCCTAATAACAAAGCACAAGAGCCCTTTAAATAAGACTCTTAAACTAAAGCCTAGCTTATTCTCCAAGCTAATAATAATAATAATAATAATAATAATAATAATAATAATAATAATAATAATAATAATAATAATAAATTTATTATTATTATTATTATTATTATTATTATTATTATTATTATTATTATTATTATTATGCATCATAGTCCCAAGTAGCCGATTTATTTATATATATGTCGATTTCATGATTTTTTATTAAATGTGATGAATATTTAGTATCGGTTCCGGCGGAGCACGTTGATTCATTATGTTCACGCCTCCCCACTAACCATTTTTCAGGTGACGGAGTCCCACGTGGCGCGTGAGCTGATGTGTAGTGGTGGCCAAGTTTCAGGATATTTTGTTATGGCATGTCATGTGGTATTTGAACATGTTTGGATTATTTATGCTTGTTTGTGTATGCTTGTTGGTATTTTCTAACTATTATCTGCTTTCGCATTTCAGAACTTGTATTTTAGATTTTAGACTTTCAGACTTTCAAACCACGTATGTGTAATTCCAGTATTTTTCATGGCGCCTTAGTCTAGAGTGAATTTTACTTGGTTGCATGTGTAATAGTTTAAAGAAATTAAAAAGATACAGATTAAAGTTAAGTAGCATCCCGCAGTTAGAGTTAAAGTGCTTTCGAAAAAGTTAATAAGAGTTTCGAAATTAAATTAAAACACAAAAAATTTACTGATTTCTAATAATAGTAAGCTGTTACAATATGAACAACCTTTAAAAAAAAATAAGGATCAACACTTTGTTGTGCCAAAACCAGGGGCCAAAATAACAAGAAGGAATAACACGGGGCAGTTTTGAAATAATCACAATGCTCCTGAAATCTTGAAATAGTTTCAAGAATCTTCTGTGTCCTTGCCGATTAAGCAAAATCGAGAAAACCAAAAGGCAAATATCGAACATCCAAACCACAATCAGGAAACCGAGAAAGGAAAATCTTGGAAAGCCCGAGTGTTGCGAAAATGGCGTTGCAATGGGTGATACTCGCATACGTAGTGGCGGCTGAGGCCGCCGTGGCTATTTTCTTGACGTTACCGTCGCCGAAGGCTCTGAAATCTCGAATCGTGTCGCTTATCTCGCTCGTTCTACAGCCGTCACTCTTTATCATACCATTCTCCACTTTTCAGCTTCTAGGTATGTGCATTTTTGTTCTCACTCTTTTGGTCGTTTTATGTTTTGCTGTTGCTGGTTTTATTGTGGATTTCTTATATGATTTGGGGCTTTGATTGTTAGAATTTTGAATTCTTATTTTTCTCTGGTTCGAAATTGGTGTTAGATATATACTGGAAGAATGAACATCGGCTCATGTGTACTGGGGAGATCTGCACTGCGGCTGAGAGGGATCGTTATGAGAAATCGGTAATTAATTCTGTTCTCGTTCGTTGTTTCTTGATTGATCGTGCTCAGCTATATTTTGGTTGACTGGGTTAAAAAAGTAGACGTTTTTATTTGCTGAGATGTTTGTTCGCTTCATTTCCTAAAAAATGAATTTATGCTTTCTTCATGTAGCTGAGTTCTTGATTTCTGTCTTTGTTATTTTACTTATCAGTGTTCCATAATTATGACAAGTTTGGTGCTTAATCCATGCATATCACATCCGTGTTTGTATGGATCTTTTATGCTTTTAGTGTCCACTTATAGCTTGTTTGGAGATAAAATTTTTGCCCAATCTTGAAAGGTAGCCTCTATTTCATAAGAATGTATGAAGTTCCAATTGATCCACTTTAAGAAAAAGTTATGGTCTGATACAAGTATGGGACCAATTCCAATTTTGAGGTGTGTGCTAGAACAATACTGGAATACGCATTAAGAAAGTGCCATAAGAAAATCTGTTTGTAGATGCACAACTTCTTTAGTTAAAGTTTCTCTCTTCTCTTCTTCTTCTTCTTCCCCGCATCCATATGAAATTTTGGTTGCTTATAGTCACTCATACTCATTTCACAGGTTTAACTATGGTTATCTGAATTTTGCACTGACTTAGAGAGAAATTGGGCTCTATCTGTCATTGAATTTTCCTGCGATAAATTCCCTGTTACCATTTATTTTATTTTTCAAACTTCCTTTGGCCATTAGTGAAAAATGTGCTGTTTTAATGCACAATCAACAGATTTACAAGTCTCAGAGGAATGCAGTATTGTGCACGGCTGCATGTCTCCTCTACTGGTAAATGAATTCATGTCCAACTTTAGTCGTAGAGCTACTAGTTTCTCACCTTATTCTTGACGGCCTCCTCTTAAATGTGTGTGAAGGTGCATATATCGCATTTGCAAGTATCATAGGGAGATCCAAAGCATGGAGGAGATCGAGAAGAGGTACAAGGACGAGTAGTTGCTTTCTGTACTTTTATCCTTCCTCAATATAGTAGATACGAGGCTTTTTCTGTGAGCTGGGTGAAGGATTAAAAAGATGTCTTTAATTGTAGTTTTGTCATGCATGAATAACTTTGTAATTTACGAAGCTTCTTGACTAGCACTATGATTTGGATTATGCTTTTTTCCAGAAATAAAAATGTTGTATTCAGTTATATTTTCATGTGATTGAATAGTTTGTATGTTTTCAATGTTCACCTGTTATATTCTGAAAGAATATGTCATGTTGGTGTATGGCATTGCTAATGTGCATTCATAAATGGTGAAAAGCTCTACTGGTTTGTATACTCGTTCTATATGTGTGAGAATTGCGGCTGAGATTGGCCGTTTGTTTCAGGAATGAAATTTATACATGACGAGAAATTGTTCTATATCTGTGTGAAAATTGCGGCTGAGATTGGCCGTTTGTTTCAGGAAAGGATATTTATACATGAAGCGAAATTGACTATAACGGAAAGCCTGTTGTACTGGTATTGTATGCGTAACTAATAATGGTGAAGTTCAAATTCGATGACACTGGGAAATTTTTTCGTTTTAAGATTGGTTTTGAATTTTAAATTAAGTTTTCCTGGGGATAAATGTTTCATTAGGGTTATCTTTGACTGGGGTTTATCTGTGAACTATCCCTGCATAGTAAAACGTAATGATGTTTTATGTCCAAGCAATCGGTATTTCTGTTTGGATCCACACGAAGTAACAGTTTTATTCAAAATTGCACTATTATTATTATTATTATTATTTTCTAAATTGCGCTAAATAACAGTTTAAGAGATCCTATATGCATTAAGTTGACCATCTGTAATTAACATTTTAAGAGATTCTTCCAATAAATAACAGTATAAATTGCTATCAGCTACAATAAAAAATTTGAGCTGCAAGATTTCATGCGTAAAAACAAAAAATGGTATGCAACCTATCATCGATGATCACAAGGAATGGTAGATTGTTTCTGGTCCTGATAGCGAATCATCTTCGCTTACAGCATATATATCTTCATTTTTCACCTCTTCCCAGTCAATGATCTCTCGTGCGTATCTAAATGCTTCATCCACTGAAGTTTGCTCGAGACCTTGTACTTGGCGAACATAAAGCTTTCTGCCTGTTATAGAGGTGTACAGCTTCTTGAATTTTACGGCAATATAGTAAAATGCACGATGTGCCATCGACATATTCTTGCTATTTGTTTTCAAGGGGTTGAAGTCTGTAAACCACTCACAGACAGTAATTGGGACTTGGTTGATTTTATCCTGAAATAGATCATATTTAGTCAAGAGCAGCAAAAATGGCGTGTTCTCGAAACTGGAATGTCTGACAACGTTTTCAAAGAAATCTCTGCTTGAGACCATCTTATTCTGTTGATGAATCCAAATCTGGTCATACTCCATTAATGAAACACAGAAGATTGCAATGTTCATGCCTTCAAGCATCTCTAACAATTTGCAGCTATCATATAGGACTTTTGAGCTGAGGTAAACCAATTGATACCTGATAATTAAATAAGATAAATAAACAAAAACCGGGTCCGGGTTTACAATTACTTATCAAATAGCCCGAGTAACAAAAATATATAGGAATGTATTTGCAATTCTCAATAGACGATATTTATATATTTTATAATGAAACGAAACTTTGAAGCATTTTTTTCATAACTAGCCCGAAGGTTTATGATTAGGGAGGACCTACTTTGACGCAGATTGTTCGTCTTCATGCTGTTGATTGTGTAACTCAGAAATTACACTGAAGTCATCAAAGGAGAACTCTAGGCATGCAAGGCCATTGCTGGGTGTAATACCTTCGGCGAACAAAATATCCTTCTCTGAAGGTACATAATCATCGCTTAATATCTCAAGGACCTGTTTGTAGGCAAATCTTACATCACAATGAGCTGGATAAGTGAGTTCCACTTTAACAGCAATAAGGTACTGGTAACAAAATTTTGTTGTACTAAAACAACAAAAAGAAAAGAGGCCAGCTGGAATACCTTGTATCAGATAACATGAAATGCTTTATGTTGACAAACATATACTGTTTATGAAAAGAACAAAAAAATTCAAACTAAATTATACCTTGTCTAAGAAATATTTAGCAATATCTGTGAGTAGTTGTAACTCCTGTAGTCTCTTGTAGGTTTCCTGTATGGCTGGATTTTCCCAGATTTCATAAAGTTTAGGTGCTGTGGAAGGAAAGAACGTGTCTATATCTCCAGTAAAAATGATATTCAATAACCAATCAGAAAAATCATTGATTTTCTGATTAACTGAATATATGCATTTTCTGCTTCCGCCGAATTCCGTTTCTCCTGTGAGCAACAAAGTTTTAGAACTAACAATGTGAGCATGATTAAAAACTTATCCATCATGTTGTGCAACATTAATGTGTTTCACAATTTAACAGCTCTAATCCACAAATAACTACCTGGCACAGACCTGTCAGCAGGCTCTTTTCCTGTCAGGACCTCTTCTTCAAAATGCTCCCTCCCCTCAAGTACAAAACTGAGATATTTGTACACATTTCTTTGAATTATGAGCTTAAAGCTCTGTAATTCATTAGTGGTGTATTTGTTTGAGTATATCAACTTGGCCTGTTGCAATGAAACAAATAGATTAATGCAATAAGTTGATATAACAATACATTTAAAAGTGAAAACAAAAAAGGAAACCTCTACTTTTTTATGGCGGCCATTTGTGATTCCAGAAATTGAATCATGAACGCAATACTTGATAGAAAATATTCAAAACGATATATACATATTGAAATCCGATAAAAATTGAGTCAAACGTTAATATTTAAATAAGATTTACACAAATTACGTATAATGCACATACACTTTTACACGTTTTAACAGAAAATGAAAAGAAATCAACGGATATACCTGCTTGAAGATGGTACTTGCCTCAGAGCTCTGTAATCCTAGAAGCAGCAGTTTGTGGGCCCTCTGTTGCTCCAAATACTTAGAATTTAATTTAGCAGAATATAATGCCAGTTCTTCCTTCATAGTATGAGCGTTTTGAAGTGGGAGAGGCAACGAAAACAATGAAGAAATGAAACGGACAGAGGCCTGAATAAGAGAAAACCAATTTGAACTCTTCAGTAACAGAACTTTTGATACCAGACAGAACATAAAATATTTATAAATAATATCTTCTATACACTACGAAATAACCTTTTCCCATATATTTCCTTTGATTTTATTTTGGCCTTCTTCTTCATATGATCCATCCTCATATAGCCAAAAGTGGGTATCACGAGTGCATTGAACCTTGGCAAGCTACAATTTTATTTTATTTTTTTAAAACAGAAAATTTCAGTGATTTGTAACCATGATAGGAGCAAATCACAATGATGGTAACTACAAGTGGTTCAAATGCAAATACCAAACAATATAATACAATTGGTTTTACAGAACAGAATGAAACTACAATTTCTTTAACCGTGCATTGACATCATTCGATTGGGCAGAGTCAAAATGGATTAATTGGACATCATTCAGTAAACAAAACTGCAGGAATATCCGACTGAAGGATTTTAAAAATGCATTTCATGGTATGGTTTTCAGTACACTGACAAACAACTAATAATCATGGTGACCATATGCTTAATGAGTCAGTTAGCATTATTTATCTCAACACAACACGCTAAGTTTTAGTATATGTAGTGTACAGGTAAGATTTACAGGATACTTAATAACTCAATTAACTAATTATATCCAGAGTAGTAGAAACAACAAGCTAAGTTCTAGTATATTGTTGTCAAACTCAAGCAAATATTTCTAAAGAACTTTCAGAAA